TGGGATTCTGGGGGGGAAGGAATTAGGGCCTCCCTTTTGCTTGGGGAAAAGAGACACTGAAGTGGTCCTCAAAGTAAAGGAATTCAGATGGAATAGGGGAAACCTGCCCTCTGCTCAGTTTTCTCCAGAGATTCCCAGGAGTGGGGGTTTCCCACAGCATCTGAGAGATCAGGTCCTTTACTTACCAACCTAATGCCCCCCTCTTTGCACCAGAGGCCTGGAATCAAGCACTGTTTACTCAAGAAGGAGATAACCACCCTGCAGGGACTTCCTGTATTCCTCAGAAAAGAAACTCAGGAATAACAACAATTTTTATAGTCTTTCAAAAATGGAAGGTGGAATACATTCTTCCCCAAACCAATAAATAGCACTGACTCCAACCAAGGTTACTTGGGGGCACTGTAACCATATAGATCAAGAGGTACTTACCATAGACATCCTGCAGCTGGATTGGTTGCCAGACTCCTGCTGGTCTCCTGCTTGATCCTATATAAACTCTGAGAATTTCATTTTCACTTTCCTTAAGAAGTGCTGAGTTAATTATTCCCCAAGCAGTCACGGAACAAAGCACCCAGTACCCGAGAAAAGAATCCCATCATCTTGAGCAACCATTTGGCTCATCCCACATTCAAACAGGAAGACCCCCCCCCCAAAAAAAAAATTTACTCTCAGTAGCCTTTTCTCCTCGGGAACTCCTGCTTTCAAAACAGAACAATGTTATCTAATTGACACTTTGACACTTTGCTGTGTTAAAGCAGAACTGGTATTTCAATGCCTCACAACAAAAAAATACAGTTTATTGTTCAAATATCATGAGCTTGTGGGTCACTGGAGATTCTTCTAGGCTTTCTAGAGTGTGGCTTCTAGGCAAATAGGGTTATGCTCAACTGTGCACTACATGTGCCTGCATTGTGGGCTCTGGGTTAAAGGAGTGGTTCTTGACACAGGCCATAGGAACTAAGGAAGCTGGCCCTCAGCTTGCATTTTTCACCTGAAAAACTGGCTGCGATGTGGCAATTTTAAAATCAATTTTTTTTGAGAGAGAGAGAGAGAGAGAGAGAGAGAGAGAGAGAGAGAGAAAGGTCCTGCAGGTGATTGTGCACACGTGCATATGAGACCAGAGGCCAGCCTCACATTTTATTCCTCAGAAACCGTTCACCTTGTTATTTTGAGACAGGGTCTCTCATTGTGGTTCATTGATAAGGTTAGTTTGGCTGGCCGGTGAATCACAGGGATCATTCTCCAAATCACCCGTGTAGTTTTACAAGTGCATACCACTATGTGTGGATTTTTATGTGGGTGTTCAGGATCAAATGCAGGTCCTCAAGCTTGCTCGGCAAGCATTTTACTGACTGAGCTGTCCTTTCTAACCCTTCGATGTAGTAATTGAAACATGCTTATTTGTTGTCATGGTCTAAAGCTGATCACACAAGAGGCCCAAAGCTGATGATGAACACTGACCAGTTGCTTGACAATGGCAGGAACACCCCATCAGTTGTGGGTTTCTTGGGGGAAGGGGCTTATTGGAGGTGGAGGAAGAAGAGCCCGTCTCAAGTAAGAGAAGCTCATTCCACAGCCATTTAGAGAATAGCCCCTGGGTGATATTCTGCTGTAAGGGAATGGAAAGGAGCCATAGTTCGCTTCATTTGTCAACGCACAGACCTGGGAAAAGAGAATCTCAGTGGAGGCATTTCCTTCATCAGATTGGCCTGTGTCACGTGTATGAGGAATTTTCTTGATTGATAATCGATGTAGGATATCCCAGCCCACTGTGAGTGGTGCCATCCTTGGGCAATGTGCCTGGGCTGTATAAGAGAGGTGGCCAAGGAAGCCAGGGAAACAAGCCAGTGAGGAGCCTTCCTCCCTGGCCTCTGCTTCAGTTCCTGCATCTGGGTTTCTGCCTAGAACGTCTGACATGACTTCCTCTATGATGGTCTGTAAAGTGTGAGATGAAAGAAACCCTTTTCTCCCCGAGTTGTTTTTGGTTATGGCGCTTATCACAGCAACAGAAAAGCAAAGTATGACACTGTCATGCATGTCTAATTGTGTTTGATACCTTTGTAAACTAACACACCTGTTTAGAGGGAGCCTCAGCTGAGGAATTGTCTCTATTGGATTGGCCTGTGGTCATGTCTCTGGGGCATTTTCTTCATTGTTGAGTGATGTAGGAAGGCCCAGCCCACTGTGGGTGGTGCCACCCCTGGGCAGGTAGTCCTGCATTGTATAAGAAAGCAGGCTGAACACAGGCCAGGAGAGCAAGCCAGTAAGCAGTGATCCTTTATGGTCTGTGCTCTAGCTCCTGCCCTCAGGTCCTGCCTTGTCTTCCTTTGATGATGGGCAGGAGAACTTGAAGACATTTCGAGAAGATCTCTGGGCAAGGCACAGCTGCACCAAGCAGACAATGAGCACCCCGCCAAAAAGAATTAGCCCAGGGAGCTGGAAGCAGAGTGAATGGAGAGGGGATGAATGCTGGATTGGACGTCAGAGGTGAATGTGGCCTGTTCCTGTCACAGAGCACTGGGGCAGCTGCTTTCTTCTCAGTCCTCTTCTTTCTCTGCTGACTTCCTTTTCTTCCCACTCAAGGCCCCTGCCACCTATGTAAAGCTGCCCCTGGAATCTCCACATCCTTCCCACATTTCTGGGGAGAACAGTTAGCTCTCTTTCACTCTCTCCACCCTGGCCAGTCACTGGGGTGGGAAGAGGCTTCATTTATCATAATCCAAAGGTTCAAAGAAGTTGTCCCCTGAGAAATCTGTAGCCGCATTAAAAAATGCTCTTGTTCCCTCTGTGTACTCTGTCTTGAGTCTTGGGACCACTCTGCTCTTGTAAGAAATTATTAAAGACTCTAAAAGAGCATTTGCTCCTATAGATTCTAGTTGTTGGTATTTACCAATTTTACTGACTGAAACAGAGACTTTAAAATGTATCTGTTAATCTCTTCAAAAGTAAAAGTGTGCATTACATACTAACATAAATATCTTCAGTGGTAAACAACTGTTTTTGAAAATAAA